TACACAACAAGCCCGTGCTTATCACAACAGTTTACCACAAAACTGGTCTGAAGACTTTATTTATAAACGTTTCTGAGAAAGACAGGCCTAGGCCTCTTTTTAACCCTTTTTGGGGGCAGTAGTAGTTGCATATGGTGTTTTTCACACCTCCAAATTCTGTGTATCCGGGAGTAGGACTGGCGTCCTAGTCCAGACACTGGAAAAGCATGTTTTGATGTGACGGGGATTCGAACCTGTGACCTGCAGATTTTGAATTGCACGCCCTAACCACATGGCCATGCCGGGCCTTGGGGCCAGTATAATATTGTCATCACTCAGACAAAGCATAATATTTAAAGGCTTCAATCTTAATTAGCTACAGAGCTATCAAATTGAAAATTAGTCCATTCTTGCTACTCCCACCTGTCAATCCTCTCATTCAGAACTTGCCAATAGTTTTCTCTGACTTTTAATTCTAAATTACATATAACCAATAAGAAACTAAGGGTTCTGCCTTTGAAATGACATATTATTCTATTTTCTTTTTTCTCGATAGAGAATATGTAGTTTCCGTTTCAGTTTTACTTTTGTTCCCATGGGGAACATATGACCAGCTTTGCTTAATTTCTAATGGCGTTTGTGGCATAGTTAGAAAGTAAAAAAATTGTGGACTAATGAGACATATTCTGCTTTTTGCATGTTATTATTCTGTGTTCTTTCGAGCATTATTTAATTAAACAAATAATTTATATATAGTTCAGTAGTACCATTAGTATAAAAAGTAGAGTTAAAAGGAATATCTATTGTTTCGTCTCCGTTTGTTAATTAATTTTCCGTAACTTCGTTCCAACGAAACTTTAGCGACACAAGTCCTTACTTAATAAAACTGGTTTATTCTTTCTGACTATAACTTTACCGATACACTTATTTTCAACAGTCGCTCTTTTACAAACGTTTTAACAACGAACGTTAACTTCAACAATACTTCCTGACTGCAGTTCAATTACTCACTACCTACACACGCATTGTCCCGTCACGTTGTGAGCGTCTTTTATATATACCAGACAAACATATATCTAGTAAATGCTAGAGCACTCCCGAAGGAACGGGATAGTTCTAGAAAGCAGGTGACGTGACAATAGTCACGTGATCTCGCTGACGCAACACTATTATTGTAGTGTTGCGTATCTGCTCGTTTGTTAATTTCCGGTATAAATTCTTTCCGAGGAACTTCAGCGATAGAAGTCCTTGATTAAAACTAGTTTATTCTTTCTCGATACAACTTTGTAATACACAGACTTTACACAGTCACTTTATACTTAACAACCTTTATAACACACGCTATAAATCACAGTGATTCACACAATTTACTTACGGTGCCTACTGTTCGCTTAACTCAATTATCTATCTCTTCACTCTATCTATCTCTGCAATTGCGCTGGTTTTTCTCGCTAGGCTTATATACTAAAAAAGAGGGCGTCTAGCAAACACTCGGACATTCGCAGGGTTCCCCGATAATTTTAGAAACTCCAGCGCGCATGCTTCCAGCGTCACGCGATTTCCGCTGTCATAACAATAGTATGTCAGCTTGCTTTTTATATTTTAGAGGCATGCTGTTGATGATATCCAAACTTTCATAAGTTGGTGATTCCATTTTAATTTCAATAGGTTCCATGGCTTGTGATTGAAAGGTTTGATGACGTTGTTGCAGCTGATTTAACATCTTAGATTTATTATCTGCAGGTAAAGTATTATTATATATGACAGATTTCACTCTATAGAGTTTAAAACTTTATAAACGGGTATTTCATAAACTTTAGGTTGATAAAGTGAGTGTACTAATTCTTCAGGAACGAGAATAATTCCTTTTTCATGTTCCATCTTAAAAACTAGCAGTTTTACCAATAGCCCATCCTGCCAAACCACCAAATAGTGAAAGAATTGGTACTACATGTAATGGTAAAAACTCCTCTCTGTATTTGTAAGTTTATTTTCTGTTTAACAGATGTTTTCTTATCAGCTAATGCTCTCAATAATGACTTATGTCATCTAAGTTTCTGCTATTGTTTCTTCATCATGGGAACATTACCCTTTAAACAATTTCAAGAACATTCACAAATACAAGTTATTAAGTCATTGTTAGCTCGAGCAGTCATATCTTTAATTTGTTTTCATGTAGATTTAGTTAAGTGAGCCACTGGGGTAACTTCGTGGAGCATTTTTGTTGTTGTTTCATTTTGCGCAAAATTACTTGATGGTTATCTATGCTAGCCATCTCAAGTTAGAAGTAATAGGCAGATAGGGAAGGTAGATAGTCAACAACACCCTCCGCCCTTACGACTGAAAGAGGCGAACATGTTCGGTGACGAAATTCAAACCCACAACCTGCGAATTGTGAATCAAGCGCCCTAACCATCAGGCCATACCAGACCCACTTCGAGAAGGAAAACGTGAAACAAAACAAAAAATGCATTGTGGTAAAAATTCGTTTATAAAGCACCAAAATAATTTGAACAATGTGCGGGGATAGGTTTTTCGCAAAGAACAAAAATATTAACTTGCTATTGTAATACACAAAACAAATTTTTCACGAAATTTATAATACAAACTTAAAATTAACTTCATCAAATAAAATATTGATTATAAAAGTTTAAAGCAAAGTTCTTTGTTATGTTGGATTGTTAAGTCTGATGGCTTATAAAAATTGAAGCCCTTCTATATAATGTCAAGTTAGTAACTTCAAAAAGTGGACCAGCTACCTAAGAGGAGTTAGATACCGGACAGACATACAGCTTTTGTGCTTTATATATATATAGATAGATAGATTAGGAATTGTATTTTATTTGCTTGCTGTTCTACAGTTCTTTTTTTAATTTAAAATGGTTATCTTTCATGTGTATAATGACTATATATTATCCTTTTTCGTTTATATTTACATTTGGTTGAATGCGCATTTAAACGGCAACATTAGCATTTTTGTAATGATAATGACATTTAAGCTGCTGAAGCAATGTGGTTTTTGTGATAGAATAAGTGACTAAAATTACATTTGAGTACGTGAGTTTTTGTTTTTTTACTTACATTATTTTTTTACATAGTAATTTTTTAATCAGTTAAGAAGCTGCTGTTAGTTCCAAATTTCTTAGAAAAAAGTATGTAACCTATTATTATATAAATAGATTATATACATCATAGCTCTTAACCAGTCGACCCCTAGTAGCACAGCGGTATGTCTGCGGACTTACAACGCTAGAAACCGGGTTTCGATACCCGTGGTGGGCAGAACACAGATAGCCCATTGTGTAGCTTTGTGCTTAATTCCAAAAACAACAAACAACAACAACTTAACCAGTCACAGAAATTACTGCATATAAATTAACATAAGGGTAACCCGTCATTGAAAAATGGAGTAACATTTTTGATTTTGTAAAATTTGAAAGAACTCTGAAAGATTTTCTAATCTGAGCAACCAGTTTCTCATAAAAATTCAACATGCTTATGTTAAATACATTGTAAATTGCAACTACTCTAACGTAAATAATATACCGTTTTGCCTGCTTACAACACTAAAAACAGACTTTAGAAAGCAATAAAATTAAAAAGTTTAAAATATATGAAATATTCTAATGTTGCATTAATATTGGTTGGCTTGTACGGGGAAAAGTTAAGAAAATACTGTTACGACAGTGGGGGTCACGTGACGCTAGTAACACGTCATATTCTCGAACGTTCATGTCCCTTCCTGAAGTCTCGAGAGGTTACTAGATATGCGGTATTCTTGTATATATAAGACCGGTAAGAACTGACGGCAACAATGTATGTGTAATTGAACTGCAGGCAGAGATAGATATGGACATTTGAGTCGAGCACGTGAGACGGTCATTGTGAATTATAGCGTTTGTTTAAGCAAAATTGTTACCGTGGAAATTAAGTGAATTTCAAAGTTGTATTCAGAAAGAATAAACCAGTTTTATTTAAGAAAGGACTTGTATCGCTAAAGTTTCTTCGGAAAACATTTTTCGGAAAATTAACTAACGACCAGAGACGTAACAATACATTCCTGCGTTCGACTACGAGCAAGTGACATTTAAATTAGTATAAGTAATGTATGAATACAATTTATATCTAAGAAAACTGTGTGCTTTGTGAACTTAAATTTTGTGTAAATCTAGCAGCAGAAAATTACTAATTTAATTCTATATGTATTATTTATTTATTTATTTATTCTAGTGGGAGTTACACCAAATCATTCATAACCTTAACGGGATTTTTTTTTTTTATATACATCGGGAGGCCTACTGCTAACCTACAATGACAATACAACACTTGTTAAAATAGGATTTAATGTGATTTATCGTGGCAGTTGTTTTGAGTTGAGATCTCCCGAGGTTTCCCTGGGGGTGCTAAGAAAAAACGAATATTTCTCTTCGCCCCGCTCGTGATGGAGATGATGGGATGTACACGGAAAATTGTGAGTTTTGATCATAAGAGGAATCTTCTGTTGCTTTACTTCTAACCAACGGCCATTATCAGACTTATGGTCCTTCAGGGCAGCGGGGATCTATAAATCCTATGCCTAGAGACTTTGTTATGGTTAAATCACGGTAGTTGCTGCACAATAGTTCTCTTGCTAAATGGGAAAGCAATCTATATGTATGTACAAGGGTATGTGATTAAGTGGCAAATCCGTCGTTAAACGAAAATGGAATGAATATCGACATAATAAAACTTAAAAGCGTTTTCGAATGTTTTACAAGCATTAAACATCTGTGGCCTATGTCGTTGTTCCTCATGTAATTTACCACGATATGCTGCTTAATATGGTTTGCTTCCAAATCTATATTCAGAAGAGCTGTGAAAAAATTTCGACTCGCCAATTACAAAACAATGTGGCTGGGGTTGCACGTTTTAAGCAGGAGGCTCGACTTATCTAACCTCTTTCAGTAATTCGATCGCCGGTTGTAATTGATGACGTGATATATAAAGAGTTATTTCATATACTATGAATGGAAGAGAGGGCGCTTCAGGCATTTATGTATGTTGAACGCATGGTTGTATTTGAATGTTCATCGTGTAATGTAAAACTGTTCAGGATTTTGGTAAGCTATTGAATTTTTATCATTAATTGTATAAAAGAATATGCTTAATACATACCAAGAGTTTCCTCTTTGCTTTATCTAGAATTATAAAGTCGTAAATAGCGCGTTTTTTCTTTCTCGCTGTATCCTATTGTAGTTTGCACCATATTATTATTAATGTTACTATTTGTAATAATAATAATATTGCTAAGCATAGCCTATAGCCTGTTAGAAATGACGGGGCAAGTACTACCACCCCATCCCTTACTATACCCTAACCTCACATTTAATAGCAAACTAAAATAAATAAATTTTGCGAAACCAAGTTTGACCGATAAAGACTGAAAGAGGCAGAAAAGTGCAGTCGAGTTAGTCAAACGTCGGTAAATTCCCATTTCAATTTTTATGAGCCAATATAAATTATGATTATAACATTCATCGTAGAATAATTATTGGTAAAAATCAGTTAGGTTAACAATTTCTAATCTATAGAAAAGCTAGTGCGTTTGGGTAAAATTACACTCCAACAATGGCTTTTATGTCATGTTGCTTAGCAACAAAAGTATAGTCTAATATTATTGTTAGTCTATGTACTGAAACTGAAAGTATAAAATGAAATGTTTAGATAACAAAACTGGAAAAACATTTGTTGATTTCTTAATTTAGAGTCTCCATTAATTAAAGAAGTATGTTTTTATTTAAAATGTGGTGATATAACAGAAAATAGCTTAATTCAGAAATGATTTAAGTTTAAAACTGAATCAATATTTTTACATTCATGATACATTTTATGCACTTGGCTCTAGGCTAGGTGATCCCATATGACATCTTTACTTTAGGCTTATTATATCAACACTCACTACATTTATAAGGTTTCATGGCACACCCCCCCCCCCCGCTTTTATTGACTCCTCCTGTTTCGAGAAATCAGACATGATGTGACACACACTAGCTTTTATATAGGTTAGATAGTATTACTATTAGTAATACTATTATTATTATTAATATTGAAATTCTTACTATTAATGTAGTACTACTACTAGTCTTAGTAATAGTATTATTGGTAGTAGTATTATACAACACCAGTGTAAAGTTTGTGTTATGTGCTACAGCTAGACTTAAGCTTTAATATGTATAAATTGTTGTTTTTCTATTAGCACATAGTAGTTTTAGCTATACAGTACATGACTGCAAGTATTAATAATGGCATAACTTGTGTCTCCTTTGTTAATACTAACAGCACTGTGAGCAACATCATTAGCAATAGCATGGTACAGCTATAAAGTAGGGCTTAAGTCTAGTGAGTAAGAACAATCTAGTAATTCATAAGTTATAGTGACAAACATTGAAATGTTTATACAGTCATACTGTCATAAGGTATGTGTTATCATCTTAATGATCAGACATCTAATTTATTTTAAAATTTGGACATGTACCCATATTTTGCATTAGAAATAAAATTCAAAGGTTTAAAGTTACTGTTTAACAATAACTTGAATAAGATGGCTGGCAGTTGGGAAATTTTGTTACCCAAGTAGAACAGAAAAAAAAAGATATGTGTACTTGACAGCATTAGCATAAGAGGTGTCTTGGCTGGATGGATGCATACAAGAAACATAGTCCCAATACTTCAGTATTAATACTTGAACAGTTGAAGCCTATGCTGAGTTTCACACCAACAAAACTGCTCAGTGACTGTTTGGACTTCTTGAATGTGAAAAAAAGTTGTTGCATTCTCAAATCTGTATCTGAAACCAAAAAGAGACAGGAGTTAAAGAAAGAGAGAGAGGTAAATTATCACAAACTGAGAAAATCAAAGTAATGTGCCTGGAAATGGCTGAAAGAGAAGAAAAAAGCTCTGCCCAGATGGAGGTATTACTCAAGACACTTAGATCCTTGTGACCTCTAGGAGTCTTAAGAAAGAGCAAAAGCTGAATTAACAAAGTTAAACACCAAAATTAGCAAAGTTAAATGTCAAACTTAGGTCCATTACAAATACTTAATTATTATGTCCAAATAAAGTGGTAGATTAACCATGTGGATGTGTACATTCTTCATGAAAATTACATTGTATTCTTAAACTTGGATCTCAAAACTTGTGGATACACTGATTAAACAACAGTGCTTTTATTCTGAAAGTGTGGTTGTGGTTATTAAGCAAATAATTGCTTAGCTATTTGATGGAATGTTATGTGTGTGATGTGGTTTGTGGCTTGCTTTATTTAAATTCTGTAAATGAACGTTATTTACAAACAATATAACTGTGCAATCAGACTACCTAAGCAGCATAATGTTTTATTGAAACTTGGATAATATAAAGGTTGTGCTTACAATGCATGTCATCATAAAAAGCAAGAGAGAAACATTTCAATATATGTTTTAACAATATGTAAAAGCTGTTACTCATTTAATAAATTTTGTGCCATGCCAGAATTAAATTGGATATTTTTTCTTGTTAATCTATATGTATCTGCTGACACTGAAAGGATGTACCATACATTATCACACAGTCAATTCATTAGATCATGAGGTATACAGTAGGTGTATAGCTAAAGTGCTAAGGCTGCTTAGTCTAATTGTTAAAAGTTGTTGCTAATGTATTTTATTGATATATATTTGATTGAGACTTGTCAAATCATTTTCTACAAATTGAGTAAGTATCAAAATTGCCCACAGTCATTTCAATTTAATTATTGAACAAAAATCCAGTGAAAGTATCGGTTTTATGTAGTGGAAGAATGGAACTATCCTGTGTGTACCTTCAACCCAAGATTAACTCTATGATCTGTTAGAAATTACAGATAGATGGTAAAACAGATATGTGTACTAAAAAATATATAAACCATCTTTTACTGTCCTAGTTTAGCCTTTTGTGTTTGAATTACTATAATAATGTCAGTTTGGTTATAGTAGAGGCATAACTTGACAGCTGGTTAGCCTCCTCTTTTGTTTTAATATCTAAATAATAGTTCATAAGTTTTATTCATATATGTTGGTTTTCTCATAATCATCAGTTATGTTGTTTTAATTATGTCTACTACATTGGTACCAATAATAACCACAAATTTCATATATTTTTTTCTGTTGACCTTGTATAAAATACAAAAAAGTTCTTTTTAAATCCTGTCCTCACCTGATATTTATGTTATGTAGTTTTAAAAATTTTAATTTCTAATGTATTGCAACAGAACCAATTATCCCAACCATGTAGCTGTTGGTACTGTGTTTTTTGCACTTTAAGACACAGCTTAAGGTTCAGCAATATTAAGTTGATATATGAAATTAATTATTTGATTTAAAACTACTGTTAGACTGCAGTACTCTAAATGTCTATCCCAGTCATAAGTATGCTGTTTCTAAAAGAAGGGAAAATTACACCCACAGTAAGTACTGCAAGAAGTTTCACAAACATGGTATTTTTTTTGTACATTTTGAATGGTTTGTCTTACTCTTCTCAAGGTATAGAAAGGAGGTTAGTAAAGTAAAATTGAATAAGGAGAAGTATTAAAAAAATATTATTACATAGAAAGCTGTTAGTAGCTTTCATTGGATTTTGAAGACTTAAAATGTGATCTTTTTATTGCTATTATAGTACACAATCAATTTTTAAATTAATGTACATTATCATAAGTGTTTTGCATATCAGTTCATTGGGCTTATTTTTGCATTCAAGTGAAGGAACATAATGCCAATTGGTGAAGAAATACATTTTCCTCGTGGGAGCTCTACCAAGTTTGTTGGTCGTACAATACCTTTAAGAAAGCAGGATGAAGACTTATTCAAAGTAAGTATTGTTACTCAGGTATGACATCACAATTATCATCTGTTAATAATTTACCCAAGTATATATGTAGACAAATACTAGAAAGTGGTTCTTTTTGTCTTATAAAAGTTTAAAAGTGTAGAAAATTTTGTTAGTGTATAAAGTATTGAAACTGGAGATAAATAACGTAAAATAGATCTGCAGAATATTTATTTTTGGAGCAAAACTGACAGCTTATATAATTTATAGTTTGTAGAAGTTTTATTTCCTGCTAAATATATATACACCCATAAGAAACTTGATAGATATCCATCATATTTCACTTAATAAATATTCAAGCATGGAAAATGAATAAATTAGTTTAAGTTCTGAGTGGAAGAACAAAATTGTCAGTTTAAGAATATTCTGTGTTTGAAATATAATATAAAGTAAAGAAGAAAAAAATGTCAAAATCAGACTAAATGTACACCTTCACATTTATATACTTGTCCAATAAAAAACTTAAAATAATTCAAAACATTTGTAAACATTATTTTTCAGGTGAACCATTCCACAAGTTTGTAACTTTGTTCAAGATCAGTTCTGCATTTCAGCTTTCAGAACTTAAACCTATTATTTTAATATCCAAGTTTGTATTTCAAATCTTCTTATTGTCCCACTCAAACAGACCATGTATAATCCATGTTTGGATTATCCAAACCCTCTAACAGTTTGGAACACTGAAGTCCATTCACATTTAAATCTTGTAAGGTTCAGAGAATACTTTGCATGACATTTTTAGTTCAAAATATGTAAACCTTGAAGCAGTGTAGTATTTTGTCACTACGCTTTTTTTTAACTTAATGTTCTTATCCTTGTTGTAGTTAAGGGATGAGAACTTCATAAGATATTGTAAATGAGGTCTTACCATTCTTACAAACAAACATAATAACTTTTTTATCTTATTCGAAATTCCCAAAAATGAAATAAATAAATAACTTAATTTGCTCTTTTCATTAGATTAAAACATCTGAAGGCGTTAATGTTTTAAACAATTGTACCTATATTCTATTTTTCACAACTGCAGTGCTCCTTTCACACAAGAGGCATTTGATATATTTCCCTAATCCAAATGCATAACTTAACATTTTTCAAGTATGAAACTTATTTATAATATTCTCAGGGTTGTAGCTATGATGGGTGGGGCCACCTAATGCTCCCGTGCATTGTGACTGCTGCCACATGGCACTAAATATCACTGAGAAAAGATCAACCATGATCATGAAAATTTCTTTGTCAATGTTGCAGTACAGTTTACTTTGCAATTAGCTTGTTAGAAACAAAGACTTTCCCTGAAAATTATAAAGCAAATAACCTTCACGTTAAAATACTTTTCAAGAAAAGTCCACAGGAAAAAAACCTGCATGTGAAACTGAACAAACGACTCATGCCATGTTAATTCTCTTGTACTTAGCATGGCACATCAGACAATATCACCCACAGTTGATACCATACAAAGCCTATTTTCTTTCCAGTAAAAGTTTATGTGGTGTGTAAAAATATTTTCAAAATTTTATGGATATTTAAAATATAAAAGTATATCAATTTTTTTTGCATAAAAACTTTTTTTTAACATCATTGTGTCTAATTTGTATCATCTACCTTCTGTTAAAGATTGATCAATCAGAAAAATATAACTCAGCCTAGAGTAAAATTTATCTCCACCTTTATTTTTTTAAAGAATTTACAAATTTTTCAGTCATCAAAATTATAAACACAAAATTTTTCTTTCTTGGCTGAGGGGAAGAGAATGGTACAATGGTGGCAGCTGCAGGCACATGCATTTATGGGCTAGACTGGTTTTTATCACCCACCACTCAAATCATCTGAGCTACAACCCTGAATGTTCTAGCTTTGTCACTTACTAAGTTCCTTTGAATAAGAGATACATTGTTCAGGTATTATCTATTGTGGGGATACTATTGAATTTAAAATAGTTATTCTTCATAATTTGCTCAATGAAACTAAGGCCTGGTTAGGGCTCTTGACTTGTGATTTACAGGTTGCGGGTTTGAATCCTGTCAAAGAAAATGCTTGCCTCCTTTTCAGCTGGGGAGCATTATAATGTGATGGTCAATTCCAGTACTTATTGGTATAAGAGTAGCTCAAGAGTTGATGGTGAATGGTGGTGTCTAGCTGCCTTCCCTCTAGTCTACCACTTCAAAATTATGGATGACTTGTGCAGATAGCTCTGGAGTAGTTTTGTCCCAAATTAAACAAAACACTGTGAAACTATATTATATACATAGCTGGTGCCTGTGGTGGAAACATAGTGTAGGAGAGTGCAAGTAATTAAGGTCATCCTTTAATGATAACAGTATATTAATCTTGATTTCATTCCTGCCAAAATTGTATGAAAAAGTTTAATTTTATTTCCTATTTAGCAAATAATAAAATAGTTTTCAGTTTATTGTGAATAACATTTTGAAAAAAGGCTAGAAATACAATATATGTGTTTCATTTTTTTTTCATTATGAAACCTATTGTTTTGTAAAAAATTATTGATGTTTTCAAAATCCATGGATAAGCTTCTCATTTTGAAGTTTGAATAAAATCAAAAATGGTTTTGTGTCACATGGTTATTATCTATGTGAACATGACAACAGGTGACACATAAAGTAATTATTTTAATGTCTTCTGTTATTCCCTTTCTGTTATTGAAAGATGAAGATAAAAAAGCTAAAATATTCTGCATTTAAAATAGTGAGCAAAATATTAATGAGTTATATTTATTCTTAATCAAGTTCATATATGTTAAAAATGTTTGGTATTCCTTGGATAACACGTAGAAGATACTGGTAACTTCCATAAATTAAAAGGAAAAGCTTAAAATCTTGCTAAAATAGAATGAGGTGGAGATTATTCTCTTAGTTTCTAAGAGAAGTCAAAAGTACTTAATGTTTGATAAATCCACAGAGTAGAAGTTGTCCAGTGGTAATGTTGGAGAGTTTTTTTGTGTGGAAGTTTGAACAATGAATGAATTATGCATGTTTTTGTAACACCTTAGAACAATCTATAAACCGTATGGAGGTACAAGTGATATAATGTTATGTTGTTTTTTAAATATTTATTGTGCCCCTAAGTCTCCATAAACATGTCCTAAATTTTTAGTTGTTGTTTTCTCTTTGGTTCTACTACTCAAGTTATGGTTATTTTGTCTGTTGAAAGTAACTGTGTGATCTAGACAAAACTGACATTAGATTTGGTGGAGTTTAGTTCATTGTTGTAATATAGAGGATTTATTTCTATGTAAAAAGAGAGAAATATTTTGTATTATTTTACCTCAAATGATCTTTAAGGTTGGTAAAGAAACAAAAAAATCAAAGAAGAAACTAGCCAAGAAGAAAAAGAAAGAAGAGAAGAAGAAAAGGGAAACAGAAAATGAAAATATAGTTGTAATAGAACCACTTTCACTGAAGGTAATTATTGAGTTGTGTCTTAGGAGGTTTAGTTTCTTTAAACACAAGGATAATTTTTTTTTAATGTTTTAATTTATACTTTCTCATTAACATATCAATTAATTTTGTTTCTTGGCATTTAACAGACTAAAAGAAATTTTCATTTATCATATCTCCAATTCCTCCTCCTTTATGCTTCTAGGCCCGGCATGGCCAGGTGGTTAGGGCACTCGACTCGCAATCTACAGGTTGCAGGTTCGAATCCCCATCCCACCAAACATGCTCACACTTTCAGCTGTGGGAGCATTATAATGTGATGGTCAATCCTACTATTTGTTGGTAAAAGAGTAGCCCAAGAGTTGGCAGTGGGTGGTGATGACTAGTTGCCTTCCCTCTTGTCTTACACTGCTAAATTAGGGATGGCTAGTGCAGATAGCCTTCGTGTAGCTTTGCGTGAAATTCAAAAACAAACAATTTATGCTTCTAAGAGGTAACCATGATCATTTAAAGCTTAAAAATAAAATTTTTTGTGAAAAAAAAGTAGTGCATATACTGGGTGTTTGAAAAGTTATTTCCACTGGTCATACAATTATGTTCATTACACTGATGGACACTGTTGTGAAACTCTGTGTGCAGACCAGTTTGGCCATGAGACGAAAACATACACATTTTAAACTAAACATTAACCAACTAATGCATGTAACAGGATTCACAATTAATTATAAGCTCAAAACATGTTAACTTCTTAAATACTAATTAACTTTTGTCTTTTGAAGACATAATGGTCACACTATATGGTACCTGTGAGTATAAATGTAATCATCCAAAATGATATTCAGTGGTTTTGAACAAGTCACTACAATGTTTATGTTGTTGTCCCAATGGGCAAGTTGGTCTTACACACTGAGTTTCACAACACTGTGTTCATCAGTTTTTTGTATGCAATAACCTAAACACTGAAAGTGACTTTTAAAACACCTGGTGTGAGCATGTGTTTAGAGATTATGGAAATCTGTGTTTTCAAAGTATAAACTATAATTTTCAAATCCATAAAACATTATTTTTCATGATAAAGATAGTGTTTAACTACCTTCATTTTTTGCAGTTACTTTTTCTAGTGTCTGTGTATATATGTATATCGAAAGCTTATACATGGATAATTCATAGTGTATCCATTAGTGAGTAATAATAAGGTTATTAAAGAAAATTTTACAATCCTTCATTTAGTTAGTATGGTAGCCAAAGAAAGGCTGCAAAGGTTTTCTTACTCAAAATTTGATATTACTTTAATATTTCACGTTTCACTACATTTTAAAGATTTTAACATTCGTTATGCTTTTTTTCCTAACCACCAAAACATCACGTGGTTGGATATTGTACAGAAAATTGTTTAAAAGGTGTAAAAGTTCTAGATTAGTGTGACAGACAGATATTCAGGCCATAAAAGTTACTCCTCTACCAACTGTAACAACCAAAGCAACAAAACCAGTCTTAAAGTAGCCCTTTCCAATAACTTCAAATAGACAAGATATTTGATATCATCAGACAAAACAAGTGACAAGCTTACATCCAAAATTATAAAAGGAATTTCAGTCAAGTAGCAAGTTTGAAACTGATTTACAGAAGTTTATAGTTATAACCATTAATATTTAAGGTTTCATTTCAAGCTTTAACATTTCAGCACTTATCCTTTCCCGATTATTCAGTTGCATAAATATTTAAGCATTTGGTATTGCTGATAATTTTAATGATTATTTCTGTAGGCAGGATGTTACTCCTACAAACATTAAATGTCAGGATAAGCTTGCAGTTCAGTCTCTTTATCTTGCACCTGTAATTAAGAATGAAATTCATGCAGCCATTAAAGAACTTTCAGGTGCTTCATTTGCTGAATGGGATGATGTATTACAATCAGTGGTTAAATCTACTTGCAATCCCATTATTGGTCCCTTAACTGAACTTGTTAATGATGTATGTGTTACAGGCAAATTTTCTAAAGTTCTTCAAATTCCCCTAAGATTATACCCCTTTATAAGGGTGATGATCCTGACTGGATGGAAAATAATCAACCTATTTCTATCTTGTCTGCATTTGTTCATATTGTTGAGTACATTATGTATATTAATATCATTACATTTTTTCGTACCAAGAAGGTTCTAAGTAATTCGTAATTTGGTTTTAGTAAACATAAGTCTACTGAAAATTGTCTATTGACAATCACCACCAAGCTTCTTGAGGGTTATGAGGCCAAGAGATCAGTTTTGTTTTGTGCACTAGATATTGCCAAGGCATTTTACAGTGTAATTCACACAGTATTGCTTCATAAATGTGCTTATTATGGCCTATGTGGTATTATTTATAATTTCCAATATGGTACATTACTTTCACTCACATAAATAGCTATTCTCATTCAGTGCTGCCCTCTATATGCAAAAAAATTTTGCATGACACAAGCCTTGAAGCTTCCACCCATTGCCTGATTCAAATGTTGGCCTAACAACAATATCGTTATAGTTTTGTGATGATGTATGATGTTAAGTATTACAAAAAGGAATGTGACACGAAGACAGAAACTGAATTAAAAGCCAAAAATTAGTTTTTGTGGGAACCTACTGGGACTTTTACCCCCTCATGTTACTTCTGGGGACCATAGGAGTCACCATGCCAAGTTTGATGGTGATTGGTCAAATAGCGTGCAAAGAGTTAGCAGACAGACAAACATCAATTTTGCTTTTATATATATGTCATGACTAGTTTGGTTAGCATTTAGTTTGAAATTTAGGTGTTAAGTGAAATAAATAGGTTATGAAAGACAGTTTTATCTTCTTTTTTTTTAACAATCTGTGCCTGGAACAAATCACTGTATTTTTTTCAGACCCTGCAAAGTGACATTGTGGTTTTAGGATGTATCCAGGTGGTGTTTGATTATGAGATGCTAGTGAATTTGCCTGGAGGATTAAAAGGAGTAGTTCCAATCACAAATGTATCAGATCCATTCACCAGACTTGCGGAGGAATATGCTGCAAATCCTGAAAGTACTGAAGAGGTATTGATAAAGCTGTTTAGACCTCAGAATTATAATGTGGTTGTAAATGAACTTATTGTAGTATAAAAGTTCTACTAGAGGACACTTTTCTTGCAGATAAACATCATGGGTGTGATTAAAGTTTTTGAGCAGTAAGCAAGTAAAGGTTTCTGATGATCAAGCTAATAACAAATATGATACTTGAGACTATTTTAGTACTTTAAGTAACAGAATCCAAGAAGTGAGGTGACCTTTCATGAAGAAATTAAGGCCTTTCTTAAAGTAGTCAATATTGATGTTGCTAAACAGTTATATTCACTGCATTAAACATGATGCATTTGTTATCATTCAAAATTATAATCGCTTGTTACAGATATGTTTTGTATGTCTTATGGTTCAAAAGCTTTTAATCTTCACTCACAATAAATCAGTTTTTGGCTTGGAGTGCTATGCAAATTCTGATAATATTTAGAACTTTGTGAATGCTTACTGAGTTTTTGAAAACTCTAAATAATTATGCTAGTTGAAATATTTTTCATCAGAAATAGTTGTTATTCATTCAAGTATGAAAAAAAGTAAAATGTCTGATTTAAAGATTAAAATTAAAAAAGTAAATTATAATTAAACTTCATCGTTTATCAATTTTAGATTTCATGAACTTGGAAACTTTGTTTTGTCAGAAGAATAAAAAATTGTGTAAGAAAACATACTTGAATTGTTTTACCAAAAACAAATCTTAATTTTTATTAACAAAAACTTTTTTAAAAATATTAGGAACATCCTGTTATTAAGTTATTTCTTTTATTAGTTAGATATGATTATTCTAATCAAACTTAAATGTAATCTGAAAGTAATTATGGGTATTTTTCTTAAAGCTATCATGTGGATAAATTCACAAAATTCTCTTGAGTCTCAAAGCTGCTGTCATTAAGAGTGATGTAGAAAGTTATCAAAAAGCTTGTGATATAACATTTAAATATGTGTAATATTTTTCTTTTCAAAATACTTGTGATTAAAAAGAAATCATGTTTTATTTCAACATTTTGAAGGAAAGATGTTGGATTATTTCAGATGGTGCTGGCTTTGAAATCCATGTTTGTTCCTGGGCAGACTCTACCTTGTCGAGTTATGGAAGTCTTGGCGGCCACAGAAACTTCAAAAACGAAAATAACCCTTTCAGTAAACCCTAGAGACGTGAACTTTGACCTAAGTGTTGGAAGTTTAAGACATGAGATGGTGTGTAGGATTTTTTGTTTTATTTGTATATTTGCTGAATTTATATTAACTTCTGATCAAAACAAGCTATCTACATAGTTCAGAACTAAAAATCATGCTAGTAATGAGCATAGGTAATTAAATATACTGCTCTTATATTCTAACTTATAAATATTAGAATGCATTACTTCATCAGGGGGCACTGTTGCTGTTAATGATATTTTTTGGCTGTAATTCCAATAAATCTCACAAGATTCATGGCTAGCTTAGGAGAGTTAAGTTAGTCCTAAATTCATATACCAAGTTAACAATGCAAAATAATCTTCATAGTGAAATATAATAATTAAAAATTACAAATGATAAAAATATATTAAACATTGTAACCAATACTGTTAATGAAAGTAACATTGAAGAAAGTATAGAGTACACTGTTTTTAAGTAATGTGTAAACACAATGGTTATAAATAAACCATTGAATTTTGTTATAAACAATTTCTATGATTTTGCAAATTATGCAGATTTGGTATGATATAAATAAATATAAGTATAAATATTGCAGCAGCTATAAAAATTTTGCCTCTTTCAAAATTTCAATAAAGTTTCATAAACTCTGCTTGTCATTTTGAGTTCCTATTTTATAATTATAAATACAAATTGTCCTGGTGTTTAGGGTGCTCGACTTACAATTAGCTGGTCTTGGGTTTGAATCCCAATCACCAAACATGCTTGCCCTTTCAGCTGTTGGGTCATTGTAATGTCCCACTATACTTTGGTAAAAGAGTAGAGCAAGAGTTGACGGTGGGTGGTGTTGATTAGCTGCCTTCTCACTAGTTCATCACTACTAAAGTAGGGATGGCTAGTGCAGTTAATCTTTGAGTAGTTTTGTGCAAAATTAACAACAAACCAAACAAAGCCAAGTTTACTGAATTCATTCTAATTATTTCATTAACAGGATTAGTTAACATTTCTTATGCATTTCAGGTCATTGAATTTGCATATTTTTATTGTTATTAACCGTAAAGTAATATTTTCTTGATATTTTTAGTGTTTTAATAATATTACATGAAGGTGATTCATGAAACATGGATGGAAATGAAGGTTAGAATAAGAAAGGAAACTGACAATATGGTGAAAAGTTGTAAATATTTGTTATATTCTAATATATTTATTCTAGATGTTAATTTATAGCAGTCTTTTAAATTCATTAAATTATATTTTCTATAACTGTTTTAATTAAAGTCAAATCAAACATGAAGTGTTTAATAATTTTTCTTTTATAGGTGGTTAATGTAGCTGTGGAAAGTGTTGAAGATCATGGCTATGTGATGGACTTGGGAATCAAAGGGATAAGTGCATTTCTCAGTCACAAGGCAGCAGCAAGTTTTGTACAGTCACGTAATTATGGAAATCCACTCTCTGTTGGACAGCTGATTCCTTGCATTGTGGATATGCCCGAGTTAAGGTCTAGTGAGTTATTGGAACAACGGACCATAAATCTCACAGCCAAACCTAAAATTACAGAATCAGCACATGTGAGTTAATCACTTAATATAACCTGACCTTTTAAAGATAATACAAGCTATATATGTTGCATTACTAATAAACCATGCTGTGCAATCAAACAATTGAAAATATTTAATTTAGTATAATGCTTCATTCAAAGTGAATTTATATAATGTGTTCAAATTGCACTGCTTTCATCTTGAGATGGTATTTCGAATCTGAAAACTGTTGTTAGGCATAAGGTGAGAGAAACCCATAAAAACACAGCTTAAATATACTACTTTCCTGTGTTGTATTAAGAATAATATAATTTTCAACTTTCTAGTTTAGGTTCTAGGGAGATGATTTTATCTATTTTAGTATCTTGTTCTTTTAATAGTACTTGTTTTCTTTGTTGTGGGCAGTTTATGAACAAAAATACTAATAAAATAATGAATGTTAATGAAACAACAACTGTTATTTAAACTTTCATCATCATTAAGATGTCTTCCAAATTGTTTTACAGATTAGCGATTCTACCATTCTAACTCTCCAGAGTATATTACCAGGAATATCCATCAAAGTGACTGTGACAAAGGTATGATTATGTTAGGATAAGGTATCTGTTGAAAAAATTATTTTTGTATTGAACAATTGAAGATTTGTAGACTGACAAAAGTATATCCTGTGTTTTCTCTGCATTTTTAGTTAAATATTTTCACTGAATATTAACTTTGCCATGCAAAACAACATAACATGAAGTGAAACTTTTTCGTGTCTAGGCTTTTCACCATTAGTGCTTTGAAGGACTGGTCATCAGGCCAGAAATGTTTCAAAAATGTTTTTTATTAATTTTTCTACTTAAATTAAGTAAAGATTTAAGTTATAAAATCATTCCTGGCTCAAATGTACATGTAATGAATTTAATTTCCATTAAAGTATCTATCTATGGTAACAAATCCGTTGTTCATAATACAGTTTAATATGGTTGTTTTAATTTAAGTTTTTCTTGCTTGAATATATTTTTTTAATTTTTGATATAATTCAATGTATTATAGAATAACGTTTTAAATGTGTGATACATAAGGTGTTGAAATAAACTTGAAATATATTTTTAATTAGGTTCTTGAAGAGGGACTGGTAGTTAAGCTCAATAATAGTTACGATGGAGCTATTTATAAGCTTCACATGAAAGATGTGTGGGAGTTGCCTAAGAAATACGAGGTTGGTCAGGAGGTAAGTGTAAATATTCATGAGGGTAAATTACTTGTGAGTTTTGATTTGTTCTGTAGGTTGACAGAGGAAAGTGTAAATTACTTGTGTCTTGATTTGTTCTGTAGGTTGACAGAGAAAAGTGTAAATTACTTGTGTCTTGATTTGTTCTGTAGGTTGACAGAGGAAAGTGTAAATTACTTGTGTCTTGATTTGTTCTGTAGATTGACAGAGGAAAGTGTAAATT